TGGTGAACTAAATTAAATGAAGTTTCTAATACATTTAAACCGTACTATTACCTTAAATTGTTTTATAATCATAAATATGGTGAATGAGTTAAGCAAAATACATCTAGAACTGCAAGAAAGATATTGAAATCTCTCATAAAAAGACAATCAGTACTGAATTAATGGTTCAGAAAGAGTTCCTGTCTCACAACAGTTACTACATTGAGGCTAGGAATCTAGAAATGGAATAAAAAATTACATTTTTCTAGTAGAAGAAAAATCATGTTTGTCAATGTTCTTAAAGTCATCTGGAGTAAACTAATTCAAAGTTTGACCCACAATCTCCCCTCCTAGATAACTTGGAAGTCAATAGTCAGCAGGTACCAAATAGAGTTGTCTTGGTTAGATTCAGCAAAGCTGGTAGGAAACTGCCATTTTTATTGATAACTGGGCCTGTTTTCTCTTTTCTTAAAGACAGTTAGTTTTTACATGTTAAAAAGCCTATATGCCTTGGAAGGGCATTCATATCTAGAAATCCTTGCAAAAAGGACACTGTCTGATCTTCCAAGATCAGATTCATGTGCCAAACACAGAGGCAGAGAAAGTTAAACAGCAATAGTTAAGGATTGAGAGGTGCACCAAAGATTAAGAGCAGAAGCAACAACAGGTGGATGCTACTCAGATGTTTGACACCCTTCTATCTCATAACCACAATTTAGGGAGGGAAGACAGTGCTTTACCTATTGTGGACAAGGAGTCTGAGACAGAACTTAGAACACTAAAAGGCTTAGTAAGTGTTAAATGATTTACTTAGGGTGTGGAGTCTGCTTCTCTGCTTCAGAACTGAACCCATCACGACCAGCCGCACTGTTGGGAAAGAATAGAAACTACACATCCCAACTAAAATAAATGTAAGGGTTTTGTAACAGTGAAAAATTCCTTTATTGATTCTGTTTGTTTTCAAGATAAAGTTTCTCTGTGTGGTGCTGGCTGTCCTGCATTGACTCTGTAGACTAGGCTGGCCTAGACCTTAGAGATCTGAGGGCCTCAGGCTCCCGAGTGCTGGGTTTAAAGTTGTGAGCCACCACAACCAGCTTTTCATTGTTATTGTTGTTGAGATCTTCTTTCTCTTTCTACTGAAATGTCCTCGAATATGGTTCTGCTTGATTCTGCTATAATCGGAGTTGTCATACTCCATGGAGTCTTCTGTAACTGACCTATTGCTCTGCTCATAAGTCCTAGCATCCTTGTGATGCATAGGAACTAATCCTTGATACCAAGAAAACTAACTAACTTCTCCCCTATATATGTGGTCCTGTATGCCATTCTTATTAGGATTGGGAAAATGGTCACTACAGTCATTTTTTATTGTTCTGTGGTTTTCTGTGTAATGGCTGGAATCTGTAGTCAGTTATCTTGGTTTAAATTGGTTGAAACAAGAACTAGCTGATGAGCATGTGATCAAACCAGACTCTCTGATTGTGGCTGACAATGGGGGCTGACTGAAAGGCCATTGATAAAGGCACTGGGACTTGTTTATATGGCATGTTCTGGCTTTTTGAAACCTTAGTCTATATGGATGCACAGCTCCCTAGGCCTGGATATGGGGGGGGGTGCTTGGGCTTCCCACAGGGCAGGGTTCCCTGCCCTCTCTCAAGCAGGGTGGGAGATGAGAAAGGGGTGTGGGGGAGTGGGAGTGGAGTGGGAGGAAAGAAGGAAGTATAAATAATTGAATGGAAAAATAAAAAAATGAGAAAAAAGAATTTATCTTATTTTTGAATATTGAGGAAAAAAATCAAGAACTAGCAGTTGAATGGTTTTTCTGTACCTAATCGGTTACAACCTTCTTATTACTGATTTGCTATAGTTATGTATTGTCTCAAAGTAGTAAATTATTGTTTCTATGTCACCTTGTCATTTAAAACTCATCATACACCTGTTATATACCCATTTCTATTTACATACTTAGGACAGGTAGATTGCACTGTCAAGTTAGGTCATTGTAACTCCAACAGATGTTGTCATAAGATGAAGAAAGCACACATTTTGACTGATCACATTTTTAGTATGTGTTTTCTTTGTGTTTTGAGGAATCAATAATGATGTATCATGTTCCTCCATTTCAGGTTCCACTCAGAGTGTCAGGTATGATTAAATCATGTGACCATTTCACAGTCAAAGCATGAAAATGATGACCATTTGTGAGTACACGCTAACAGCAAAGATGCATTACATAGTGTCCTCATTTCAAAATTCATCAAATTTCTTTTCATCATTCAGTTATGAAGAAATAACTGGCTAGGCTTAGTAAGTGAGACATTAAGGAACTGTACTTTCCCTGAATTATCAGGTGCAAGTGTTATCAGATCAATACTTATTCCATTAATATCTTCTAACCAATGGCTTCAGGTTGACCATCTGATAGCTTATTCAAAGTGTGGGGGGTGCCTGTGTGTGCACCATGGAAATTAGAGGACAACTTATGGGATTCTAGCTGTTTTTCAGATCCTCAGACTTGGTGGCAAGCACCCTTATCACTGATCCATGGCACCATGCCACCTGACACATTGACACTTAGGATTTTTGACACTCAGGATTCAGTTGGAGCCCCTCACAGAGTTCTCTCTCCCTGTCCTTGTCCATGCTTGAGAACTCCCTAATCAGAAATTGTTAGCTTCATTCTGCTTCATGAATAAATTACTAAATAAAATTATATTGTGACTATGTGAGACATGGCTTAATAATTGTTTGGAATGTGAAGAATGTATGGGAATTAGCTTTCATCAAAAACGTGCAAATCTCGCGTGTCTTTAATTTCATTTCTCAATACTTCATGAGTTTTGTTATCATCAGTTGAAACTCATTAGTGCATTTTATTGACTGCACAACTGACTAGCATTTGTATTTTTATCTACACAAGCTCAGAATTCTGCTCTAAGCTCAGAAAAGCATCATTTGTAGCATATCATAAAGTTGACACAGAATATATTTTATAAGCCAAGCCTGTCACTAAGAAGAGCCTGAACGGAAACATTTATTCTGGTTGAAATTCTCACAGGTAATTATAGCTTCAGCATGAAACCACAAAATATCTAGTGGCTAATTTACTTTTCATTCTATCTTCAAGTCTGTTGAAGTCCCAAGTATCATATCATGCAGGAGAAATGTGACCCATATAGAAAACTAGAGTTTACACACACAGCAAACAAGATATACACACACATACATACACAGAGAATATGTACACATACCAAACACATGCGCCAGCATCCAACACACCCCAAACATAGGCTTGCATTCTAGATGAATATAACATGTAATCACATATACCACATACACACATACCATACACATAATACAAATACAAAATCATATACCACACACATTTACCAAAGCACATACACCATACACATTATACAGACCACATTCAAACACAAACTATACACACAACACACATGCCACACACATACTACATGCATACATGACATACTTTATATCACACCCACATACATTGTACACACCACACCACACAAATCATTCAAAACATACACCACATGCATTTAACCTCCATACACACATGACATACATATACCACACACATACCACATATATCATATACACACACATACACACACACTGAAAGATTTTGGCATGACTGACCCTGGCAGGCTCCACGGCAGGTGGGGGACCACAGTGGGTAGGAACCAGAATACGCCATGCTGAGGGAGATTGAGTATGAAGTTTTATTAAAGGGGAATGTAGGGGCAAGAAGGGAGGGGAGAAAGAGCGAGAGAAAGAGAGAAGGAGAGAAGAGCACAGAGGTGGAGAGAGGAGGGAGGCAGAGAGCTGCCTCTTCAGAAGAGTGGGAACAGAGATGAAGAGCAGAAGACAGCAGAAATCAACTTGCCAGAGAGGAATGGGCAGAGCTTGCCTCCTAAAGAGACAGGGTACTGATAGGGAAAGCCAGCAATATCCTAAATTTCCCATCTTCCTCTTATCATAGAAAGGCGAGGAGTTAGGTATGGCAGGTTAAGGGGATGAGGGCGTTGAGTTCCCAAGACTACTTCCTGTTGATTTGTGGGCAATGAAATCTTGGGGGACCTGAGAAAGCTTGGGTGCTGGCCATGTTCTGGGGTATCTGGTTGTTCCGCTACTGCCCAGGCTTTGTGGTGTGATACTCTGTAGTCTCTCTTGGACCTGTTTAACTTGAATATTCCAATTTGGCTCCCTGGAACTCACAATAATTCTTTGAGTTTGTGAAAACATAAGTTTTAGACAAATACATTGTACAAATGGCAGTATATTTATGCCAGAAATGACTGTGACAGATGTATTTGCACAATGAAAGGTATTTTAAGTCTATAGTTAGAAAATTACCAAAGAGAATTTAAAATCTTGATTTTGCAGTATAGTAGTGTTGGTACTCTGCCAGAGTTAGATTAATAGCTTACCAGCATTTTGTTGGTTAGTGTTCAGACTATAATGAGAGAGACATCTGATAGCTTACATTTGTATATCTTAAAATATTTTCTTCTTATACTCTGAAATGTTTTTTATCCTCAGACTTTTATAACTTGCATTTACACACCTTAAGTCACTTTCTTGTGTCCTGAAGCATTCTTATCCTCAGACCTTTATAACTTGGAGGTACACACTTTAAAAGCTTGTATTTCTACACCTTCTTGGTCTGAGATTTCATCTTAAAAAACCCTTTATTTAAACATGGTAGGAAGTTACACTAAAATCCATTTTGTGAAGTTCTCCTTTTTAAACTGGCAAACCTCTCAGCCATCAAGATGCATCAGAGATCTTGAGAAGGATAAAGATTTACCTGAGTTATTGATTTCAAGAACGACAGAGAACTGACTTGAACAACTACCTAGACAGCCACTCCCCAGGGTCCACCATGGTCACTGAGGGCAAGAGCTTCAGAGCTGCATTTGCCTTCTTACTGATAGCACAGGACCTGCCAGACTTCAGAAGAGTCTGTGGGTTAGGAATCTGAAGGAAGACTAACCTACCTTGCCCCCTGCAACCATGCAGTCGATTCTAGCTTTCCATCATCCTCTGTCTGGAGATCTTCAGCAGTTTAGATGAAAGGAAGTTCTGCCAAGTGGTTAGCCCTTTCACTTGATGTGAATTATGGATAGACATTGTTCTGTTCCCATCTGTCTTCTGTCTTCTTTGGAGGAAATGGGGTGGTGTTGCTAAGACCCAACGTGTCTTTCTGTTACGAAAAATCTTTTAATAATTAAACATTTAAATGTCATATTCCCCAGGTACCTGAGCACTCAAGGGCTATTTATTGAGTATATATAATTTATGGCTACAGTACAGGATTTCCCTGGAGAGCTGGGTCCACGCTGAGAGGTTGTGGAGCAGTGTTTTATCCAGAGTCCTCCAGCTTGACTGTACTGGTTTTTAACTTAAGAGGACAGATTTATACTTGTGAAAGAAAAAATAGAAATAATTGTTTGCAACAGAAGCTTAACAACAAAAATGACAATAGTAAAGAACAACTTACAGGAAATGCTGCAGGTTAATTTAACTTTTGTTAATCTGAAATAGATGTCCATGACCTTAAACTTTTATCATTATATAGAGCAAATTATAAAGCAGAGTTGAATCACATATTAGTATGTTGTAATAAATTTAAACATATATTAATTATCATTTAAAAGTACACAACAATTTAAAATATTTGCAACTTATTGCTTTCTTAGTTTGGGAGGGGGTATAATGAACAGAGCTCATTAGGATTGTTTAAAACATTTTTTAAACAATAAGTACATGTACATCTGCATGCAGTTGAATTTAAGTTACACATAAAGTTAAATGAAAAGTGAGCTAGAGAAAACTGGCTTTTATATCTCTGACTGACGCTTTGTAACAAGCAGACAGGGCATTTAAAGGGAAAGAGAAAAAAAGAAAGAAACTGGAGACTTAAAGTCACAAATTTTTAGCAGGTGGAAGAGAACAGCTCAGTTGCAGGTCCTGTAGCTAGGTGCTCTGGCTGTCCCTGCTACCGGCACTATTTGGCTAGGGTCTGAACCTCATGAGTCTGTGGCTCCTGCCTGTCTTAACCTCAAACAATATGGCAAAATGATGGCAGTCATGTGGTTCCCCACATGTTGTAAATCTTTCCATTTAACCATCAGCTGGCAGACCTTAGAAATGTATGCGGTTTTGCCAGCCTGTTTCCCATGGGTGAGGCAGAAAGATAATTGACTGACTTAGGCCCTTATCTATTTGCCCATAGGATAAAGGCGCCAACAAAGAGTAGTCGCCCAAGAGGCAAGAGGCCTAGACGGGAGCTATAGCCCAGAAACGGTCCATAGGTCCAAGAAGCAAAGACACTGCTCTCATGGTGCAAGGCCCTGAGCTCAAAAATGATTTCACAGTTTAGTGAGCACAGTACTAGGGCAAAACCTGAAAACCTTGCTCTTGGGAAGTGCCAGAGGTGATTGCCAGTGAAAGCTGAACTGAGCTGAACTGGAGGAGGGGATCTTACCAGTGTTGTGCCAGTATACTAGCAGGTGGGGAGGTGGAGAGTGGCCTGATGGCAGGTCCAAGTGCAGGATCCCCACATGCATTGGACTATCCACCCAAGGACCAGAAGAGGGACCCTAGACACAGCGGTGGCAGAGGTAGGGCTCCACAAATGTGAACTGGAAAAGAGACCGTTCTGCCCCAGACAGGCTCAGCCGCAGTGGGAGACAGTGGGGCGGGGCGGGGTGGGGGGGAGGTTGCCGAGTTTAGCATGGCTGGATTACGCTCTGGGACTAAAAGGCAGACAGACTAAGAAAAGGAAGAAAGAGTATAGAGACCACACTTCCAGGCACTGACTACTGGCAGAATGTAAGCTGAAGACAGGCAGCTATATAGTTGATATATGAGGAGGGAGGCGAAATCTCCATGAGTGAGAAAAGAAGAAAGTCCAAGAGACTGAACTTCAGCATCCCAGTATAGACCGCAGCTCAGGCTGGCCTTGGGTCGTCTTTACAAGGTTCAAGGGCTGTGAGAATGGGTGAGCACAAACCAAACCTCTAAGTCGACACATGGACTTGGGGGCGAAGGAGCTTTCAACCCCATAGGCAAGTGGTCAATCAATACTGGGTGTTTTCATGCGGGGAACCACCGCAGAGACAAATCTACACTCGTGGAGGTATGGCCAGAGGTGAGGAGAGGGACCTACTGTTAGTGTCCATGTTGGGTGTAGACTTAAGCATTTTGAGTTAGAAAAGCAACCGTATAGAAGGGTTCAAGGTTACAGGATCCCCAAGATTCCATACCTGCCTTGGGACCTTACTGGGTCACTCTATGCACAACCTTTCATTGATGCTGTGAACTTGGCAGGCTCTCCCCTGCAGCTAAGGACTGCTGGGAAACATGCCACACACATACACATACCGCCCACACAATGTGTCCTGCATAATATTTCTACTCTTGAACACTCTTCATATAATAACTTTTCTATCTTCCAAATTATCCCCCATGATTCTTTTGTCATTTTTCTTCTAGTTAAATTCTATCACCTACACAATTACTTAATGGCCCTGGCTATGTCTTTTGGGGAGTGGTAATGACTGTCTTTGTCTTAAATTATCCTTTCAAAATCGAATGCCTTAGAATATGGATACTATGTCTGTCCCCAATATTAAAGTGCACTGAAGGACTGTTCAGCATATTAAAGGCACAATCTCCTTCTTAAACTAAGGACAAGTGGATTATTGCCCATTATAAAAGGTGTGAATTCCTTCAGCTGAACTCCTCTCCTAAAATGCAAACCCATAGGCCTGCGTCTGTGCAGGCTATCTGGTCTTGCTGTGGCTGGGTCTTAGTGACACAGAGCCAGTGCAAGACTGAATCACCAGGGAAATAGAGCACTCACCTGGGACCCACCCATCTCCTGCCTTCTGCTCATAATCTAAAACCAGAAAGGTGATTTCCCAGCTAAGTTACCATGTGGGACCCTTCCATCTTTTACTAGCATTTTTTTTATTCAACTCTCTGCATTTCATTTAAAGCCTCAGCAGTATTTCTTTTGGCCCCCAGGCTCATACCAGCATGCGAATATACCCATCTTAGAATGTACATGGAGTAATCATTCAGTCTGTGTTCTTTTGAAGCCCTAGGCTGCGGAAGTCCAGAAATAACTCCATACACCACAAAATTCCACTCTTGATCCTTGTTCCAAGTCAGAAGTAAATTGTTAAAAATACTTAAGAAAGAAATAGCAGTCGGAAAGGGAGTGTAGGGTTGGAGTCCTCTAACCCAGGTCTCTAGAAAGGGGAAAGATGGAGACATAAAGACACAAAACTACTCAGCCTGTGTTACCCTATCCCTTCCCTTATGATAGGCAGGATGGGATCCTCCAGCACACTGTGCCTGGGCTTCCTCATCTCCAGCTTTATTCAGGGTTGTGAGTCAACACTTCAGATTTCCCCAGGAATCACCAGAGAATGGCCTTTTAAACTACCAAGAGGAAGAACAAATAGTTTGGGGGTGGGGGAGCAGAAGGAAAAAATGAAGGAAGTGGGAGTTATGGGGGCAGGAAAGAGGGAAGTAACTTTTCCCTCTCCCTAAGGCTGCAAGTACACTCCATACCTGAACTCCCATCCCCATCCTCACCCTCCACCCCTGTCTATTAACATAGCCTCCCTGATAGAGTTTGGCTGGAAACATTGTGCTATCCCAGGATACTCAAGCTTACAGCAACCCTGCCATCTCAGCCTCCTTAGAATTGGTATTACAGGCATGTGCCGCCCTGACCAGAATTTCCACACTAACACTCCAGAGGTTTCTGGAATCAGTTTTTCCTGGGTCAGTTTTAAAGGCAGTCTGAAGAACACTTGTGTATTCTCTCATGTTCAAACACTGAGTATAATACTATCTATCACTTGTGGGTTGCAGGTACATCACACACACACACACACACACACACACACACACACACACATATATATATGATCACTTTTTGTCTTTTGTATGAAAAAACATTACTCTAAAGTTAAACAAATAATGATGAAAAGCTTCCATTTATTGAAATAGTACAACTTGAAAACAACAAAGAAAGGATAGAGTCAAAATAGTAACATTTCTCCATGTGACCTGGAGACAGGTCAAAAGGTCAGAGGAATATTGTAGGCTGCCTAGGCTACAGGAGACCTCATCTAAAACAACAAAATAGCTTTTTGATGTGACTAGTTATAGGAAGGTCACTAACAAAGAAGCACAGGTGGGGTAAATGAACCAGCAGCCTTCTATTTTCTTACACTTTGAAGGATGACAGCCGAACTCCAATGTTGCAATAATGGTTGTTCTCCTAAGGACTCTCTCCTTGGCCAAGCTTCCTCTCAATATTCATGTACCTTTCATGGCCATAATGGTAACTAAGCATGGCACAATCTCCCCTTCCAATCAGTATGCCATCTGATTGTATTTTGACAACCCACATTACCTAACTGAGCAAGAACTAAGCCCTTAAATTCCCTTTTTCAAAATCAAATATTGTACACTGTGAGGTAAAGAGGGATTAGGGCTTCAACACATGAATTTGGAGAATGCCATTTATCCTAGTGAAAGGAATAAATGATAACTGATGGGCAGTTCCATTGTTATGAGAGAGAACAAGGCAGATGTTACGGGCCTTCTGCTTAAAGCATAAAAATATTTTATTAATAAATGTTATGCACATTAAAGGGACCCATGTACTGCAAGGTACTCCCCACTTGACTCTGGAAGAATCACAGACTATACTCAAAAACCAACTTTCAAACACAAACCAAATGCAAAGAGATCCTTTAGTAAGCAAGGCAAGGAGACAAGGCAGTAGATTCTAAATCAGGCAGCAACACAGCAAATAACTTTGCAAGTGTTGATTTTAAGATGGGAAAAGGAGAGGTCTGTGTTAGAATGAGCTTGAATGTGTTGGTAAATTCTGAGTGGGTATTTTAATTAGGTTAGCCAAAAATAATGAATTTTGATTGTTGGACTTTGATGTTTTGATAGTTGGATCTTAGTGATCAGTCTCAAGAACGATTCAGTGGCCAAATCAGTGGACAGAACTAGCTGGCTAGCTTTATGAATCCAATCTTTGGCAAGGGGGAGAATGGTAAAAGGCAAAACCTGTCACCACCTTGTT